TTGTATAGGAATGTCTACTGGCTGTGTTCGATCAACATGCTGTTGCAACACTGGGTATTTGGAGGGCTTGATCAAAGTATCTTGCAATATGTATGAATACTATATTCAGGATTGACAAGTAGGGATCTCATATTTGTACTGGTGTACATGAGTGGCAAGAAAAAACTGAAAAACGGTGGCTTACTCGGGATTTATATGCGCCAAAAAGCGTGCACTTTCCAGGGCGAAGTTTCAATGCTGCTCAAGAAATCATCTAAGATCGCTTGCTAGAGAACCTTCTAAATCCTTCTAATTTCCGCTACTCTTCAGTAAACTAATCTAGCGATGGTATAGATGGCCCATTTATAGATGATTTAGCTGTTAAGAATGGTCCTTCTCTGCAGCTATGTTGAGTTCCAGTGGTCATGATTGATTACAATGTTAATGCTGGTAATGGTACCAGGAGACTGAGAATCCAAGACTCTTCAAGTACAGACTGTCTTGAATCTAGAAGATGTTTCTCCGTTTCTTGAGGGGATTGATGAAGCAAATCTGAGACTCTGAGACCGGCCTACATCAAGAAAAAATATAGGACACCCTCGTGACTGAGCTCTTAATCCTTTAAAACATATAAATAAATACATATATATATATATATCAAACGGACATATTTTCCCTCACATCACAGATGAACGTGCGTTGTATTCGGCCTCCCTAGGTTTTCTTCGGCAATGCGTTTGTCTCGGCACCGCGATCCGATGCTGCATTGCGGGGCGCGTCCCATGCTCAGCCACATCCGCACATTCCAATTATTTGCACGGGGTTGAACCCACTTTGTGAGTTAATCTGGTAAACCCAATGCCATAATCCATGAACATCCATAAACCATCCCCGAAATCACCATTTCTATGCGTGGTATAAACCATTCCCAAGCAGTAGGTTTATTATTGGGTTTCCCACAGTATATCACATATTGACCACACCCTAAATGGCTTCCAATATGTGTAAATCGCCGACTAAACCTTGGTTTCTGGGAAATTGTTTAGTATTTGGGGAAAGGGACTATATCGGAATGTGATCAACGACTACTGGCTTGCAATATCGGCATGGGTCAAAATTATCACTGTGAAATCATGGATCCCTATCTGTGACATGTTCAGTTGTTTGTGGCCTCCCTATGGGATCAAGCCCCCCTCGTCTTACGCTTGTCGATCGTGGAAAATCGAATGCTGGTTTGGTGCTGACGCGATCACCTGTGACTCCAGGTTGTCACAGGTGGTAGCGGAGCGCTGAGGCGCGACCGTCCTGTTGCTGCATCTTGGTGGAGCTGAGAGGACGGAGGACGATTTCCTGCTTTTGACATGTCGGGGTCTGGCCAAAGGGAAGATGAGAAATCCACGAAGCTTGAGATGTTCAGTGGTGAATCCCCTCAAGAGTACAAGCGCTGGAGACGCAGGGCCGAGCTTCATTTGCTTGGTCTTCCGTCAACAGTAGGCAAAACCAAATGGGGCCCTCGACTTCTGGAGGCCCTGACTGGTGAAGCATGGGAGCTGCTGGAGACTGTACCCATTAGTGACATAGTCAAGGAGGACGGTCACGAACTGGTGTTCAGCACTCTAGATGGCAAGTACAAAGAACGTCAACAAGATGAACTCCAGCGGGCACTCAAGGAGTACTTCTACCAAGTTTCCATCAAACCCAATGAAGAATTTCGGGCTTTCATCGTGAGGTTGGAATCTACTTACCGACTTTTGGTGACCCATGGATGTGAGCTTCCGAAAGAAGTTCGCGGATGGCTGCTGATGAAAAAGATGCATCTTGATCAGACTCAGGAGGCGCTGATTCTGACGGCTGCCAAGGGAAACTTGGATTATAGAGAAGTCGTCCAGGCTATCCACGCTGTCTTTCCACATGGCAAGGGTCAGTCTACCAAGTCCAAGGATGTGTTCATGGCGGCTGACACCTATGAAGTTGAGTCGTCAAGTGATGAGCACGAAGTCTTTGAGACGCTTCAAGGCATAGCTGACCAAGTGCAAGACCAAGATGATTATGACAGTGAGGAAGCCATCGACGTCTTTGAGAACTACAAGGACATCAAGAGGCGGGTCCAAGACAAGAAAATGGGCCGTGGATTCAAAAAGGAAAAGTGGAACATCACTGGCAGTATCAAGGCAAAAGTGGAAGCCTTGAAGAGCCGCACGCGTTGCCACACCTGCAACAAATTGGGGCATTGGAAGAAGGAGTGTCCTGAGAAGAAGGTGAGGAACGAAGGAAGGAAGGCAAAGGGCGACAATGTCCAGCACGAGGTGAACTTCTGTGAATTGGATATCCCCGGCAACCACGATGCCTTCTTGCTGGAGGAGAAAGATGTCACAGAACAGCTGGAGAAGCCCGAGAAAAACACCAGCGTGCGAGAAGAGTCAAAGAAACGGGATGAATGGGCACTGAGGGAAGGCGAGGTGTGGCGGTTTCACCGTCGATATCGCAGAGCCTTGTTCAGTCCTCATAGCTTAGTGAACATGCCGGTGAACCCAGAATGTCTGACTGGGAGCCGCACTACCGTCGTAGTGTATGAGAATGGTCAGTCAGATGAGATCCATGACAACTTCAAGAATGAGAACTTCCCAATGAGGCTTTTAGACCAGAAATGGAAGGGCATCACAAAATTCCACATGAAGCAGGAGAAGAAAGTCCATGCACAGGGACAAGGAGAACAGGTGATCAGCAAGGAGCACTTCATCGAGCCAGACGTCATTGACAGCTTCGAGGCACAAGTCATCCAGAAGGGGGGCAGCGGGCCAAGTCATTTGACCTTAGAGAGTGAAGAGCGCTCAGTTTTTGATGGAGCAAACGCTCCGATCTCTAGTCATGCAGTGCCGGACACAGCGTGCAGGAAGACATTGATCGGGCAATACACGCTGCGCGACATGGAGAGGCATGTTCATGACAGAGGCTTGAAGGTCAAGAGGTTGAAAGGTGTGAATGTTTTTAGATTTGGGAATGCCGGGGAGCTCACTTCAACTGAAATTGCACATATACCAGTGTACTTGGGAAGTACACCAGTAGTAATTAAGGCAGCAGTGCTTCCGGGGTCGGGGGCAAAGACCCCACTACTGTTGTCGAAGGAGTTGTTGAAGTGGCTCGGATGTAAGATGAACATGGGTGATGATGTGATGATGTTTTCGCGTTTGAATGAGAAAGTGAAGCTGGGCCAGACTGATCGCGGCCATTATGCCATTCCTCTTTTTCATGGTCATGAGAAGCCGTTTGAGGGGTCCAAACTGAAGACTCCTGATCCTTGTCTTCTTGGAGAAGATGTCAAGTCCTCCCTACTCTCGGGCGGCGAGCAAGAGCTCAGGTCCGATGCCGAATACCCAGATGTCTCCGTTGACGAAGCAGCTGATGGAAAGCTTGGCCCTGACGCCAGGTCAACCATCAGAGATTCTTGCCCTGGACTTGGACCAACTGGCAGATGCGTCGGAAGACGAGCCAGCAGAGTGCCCAATTCCAGCTGGGACGACGCTCACAGTCGGGAAGTACGGCAGAAAGAAGGCAGACAGGATCAGCATCAAGCAGATCTACTTGGAGGACAAGCCTTACGTGCAATGGGTTCGAGATCATGTGGCGCCAGATCAGAGCAGCTCACCATGCATGAGAAAGCTGTTGCTATATGTGACCATGAGGGATCAGAAGAAGGCATCCCGTGTGAAAATGAACATGAAGCAGAAACCAGTGCCTCCAATGCCAAAGAAGAAGAGTGCACCTCGGGACCAAATGCCCAAGACTCCCAGCCGTCGAGGACGAGAAGGAGAAGGTTGGGCAAGCCAGTCAGCGGATGCGGCCATGGAAACCGAGAGTTGGGAGGAAGTGGGAAGTCCGAGTGTGGTAGATCGATTGGCCACACTGTCCCAGGGAACATTGATGCTCGAGGACAACATTCAGGCTGTGTTGAAGGCTTTGGCCAAGACAGCGAAAGACTCCCCGACTCCAGCCAACCGTGCGTTGCTTCGAGAGATGGTCAAGAAGTGAGCACTGCGAGTGGCGACAAACCGGAAATGTTGTTAGCAGGAGTGGAGAAGCTTGAAAAGCTTGAAAAATGTCAAGACTATGACCTGCTGTACATCAATTTGAATTCCAGTAGCCATGAAATTTCTGAGCTTTTCTCCGTTCCTAGGGTTACCGAAGTGGCTTCATGTTTTGGCTTGAAGAAGGGACCCTCATATGACATTCGTACTGGACACGACCTGCGGGAAAAAGAGCTGCAAGACCGAGTGCGCTCTGAGATCAAGCTGAGAAAACCCAAACTTGTTGTCATTTGCCCTCCGTGTGGTCCTTATAGTTCTCTCCAAAACCTGAACCCCCGTAAGAACAGTAAAGAGTGGTTGAAAATGTTGAGTGATGCTAGGATTCTTCATCGGTTTGGTATGCAAGTTGCTCAGGATCAGATTGATGGAGGTAGGTACTTTCTTTATGAACAACCCAGGAATGCAAAGTCGTGGGATGATCGTGAAGTGCAACGTATCTCTCAGCAACCACATGTTCAGCTTTTCTCCATGGATCAATGCATGTTCGGTTTGAAGGATAGGATTAGTCACAAGAGGCATAAAAAGGCGACAGGTATCATGGTCAATAGCATGGAGATTCGGAAACAGCTTGAGAGACACTGTGATGGCAGTCATGAACATGAACCGGTTTTGGGTAAAGTGAAGCTTCAGGATGCTTGGATCGCTAGGAGTAGGCTAGCTCAGGAGTATCCACGAAAGTTTTGCATGGCTATTTGCAGGGGTTTGATGAGAGAGATCGAGGCCAGGAACCAGGCTAAGGCAGTGTCAAGCGTTTTGGCCGTAGAAGAACTTGAGAATCAGAGCGATGAGAGAAAGATTGCGTCGATTTTGAGAAGATGTCATAACAATCTTGGTCATCCCTCTACCCCCAAATTCATAGCTATGTTGAAGGCTGCCCGTGCGAGTGAAAAGTGTCTGAAGATTGCCAAGGGTTTGACATGCACTACATGTGATGCCATGAAACAGACCAAATCTCATCGTGTTGCGAAGGTTGAAAATGCTACTCAATTCAATCAAGTTGTTTGTATGGACACCTTTGAAGTGGAGTTGCCCCAAAGAACCATGAAGTTTCTGAACATCGTTGATAGTGCTACTAGGTATCAAGTTGTGGTTCCTCTTTGGAAAGGGGCAAATGCCGAAAACGTCAGACAGTGCTACAGACGGTACTGGAAACGATGGGCTGGTCCGCCGGTTCGAGTTTGGTCAGATGGTGGTCCGGAGTTTCAGGGTATTTTCACTAATCTTTTGGGTAGTGATGGAACCATTCATGAGATGACCGGGTCATATTCTCCATGGCAAAACGGTATGTGTGAACGTCTGGGGGGTGTTTGGAAAGAAGCCTTTAGAAAAGCCGTTCTTGAAGCTGTTCCAGATGGAAGAGCTGAGATTGAGGAGCTTTGTGATCAGGTGAATGCTGCGCACAATAGTTTGACACGAAAGGACGGTTTCTCACCATCTCAGCATGTTCTTGGCATGGATGTGCGTTTGCCAGGTGTGATCATGACAGGCGAAGGCAATGAGGTCATTGAGTCTGCTGTCTTGCAAGGTGAAAAAGGGTTCACAAGGCGGATGAACATAAGAAACGCCGCGCGTGCGGCTTTCATGAACGCCGACTCTGAAGCTAAAGTCCGCAGAGCCTTCCATGCAAGAAGTAGAGTTGCTTCTGTTCCACTTGCACCAGGTGATCTTGCGTACATTTGGAGAAAGGTGAAAGGTGGCACATGTCATCACTGGCATGGACCAGGTCATGTTCTAGGAACTGAAGGATCAAGAGTCTGGGTGGCTTCAGGATCAAAGGTTTACAGGTGCTCACGGGAGCAAGTGAAACGTCCCAGTGAGGAGCAAGAGGCCCTCATTCGGCTTCTTCCTGAAAACCTTAGGATCATGCGTAGCACCATTGCCGAGAGAGGTGCAGGCAACATTGTGAATCTTGAGGGTGGAAATCTTCCGCCCGATGATGAACGGGATGAAGTCATGACAGAGGCCGCAGAACCTTCTAATGGTGAGGCCCGTGGTGTTGTGAGATCGTTTGACCAGGTTGATCATGGCATGGACATGTTTGACAATCTTGCGCCTGTTGCTCAAAGAGCCAGAACGGATGTTGGACCAGTTGACATGGGTGTTGATCTTGGCATGGGAAACGAAGGTCAAATTGAGGGAAATAATGAATTGGAGTACTCTCCACAGACACCAGCAAGAGATGATGAGCTGGAACCTCAAGACCTTGACTTGGATCATGATCATGAAAGGCAGGTAACACAGGTTGAACCACATGCTGAACCAAATGTGTTGCCAGTGGTAGGTAATACCAGTGCACATGAGTATGGGCCCATCAGGAGTCCATCAAGATTGACACATGCCATGCGTCAGAACTTAGATTTGCTTGATCATGGGAGATCAGTGAGAACTTTGGAAAGAAATGTCCATGATGCGTCTTTGGTTGAAGATGAACTTGTTCATGAGGAAGTGTATGTTGTTCATGTTAAGAAGAAGGGTCGCAAGGAAGTGCTTGAAACGGAACTTGGTAACCATGTGAAGGGTAAACTTAGTAAGGCTAAGCGGAAAGAGTGGGATAAAATGATTGCGTCAGGTGCGGTGAAGGTTCATGCAGGTGAGGCGGCTAGGAACTTGATCAATGAGGTTGGTAAACATCGTTTGCTGTCGTCTCGATTTGTGTTGACACAAGATGATGACATGAAACTGGCCGATGATGTCAAAGCACGATGGGTCATTCGGGGATATTTGGATCCCGACATTCAAGACCTGGATACTTCAGCACCAACGTTATCTTCTGAAGGCCTAAGCGTGACCTTGCAACTTATCAGTTCGAATCGCTGGAGGATGAAGATTGGAGATGTGGAAGCAGCCTTTTTGAGAGGCGATTTGCTTCACAGAGAAAAAGGGAAGGTGCTTGTGAAACTTCCACCCGGTGGGATTCCAGGATTGAGTGAAGACTCTGTGATAGAGTTGGTTCGTCCTGTTTATGGACTTGCCGATGCACCGCAGGCTTGGTATAAAAGTGTTAGTCTGTTTTTGGTTGGTTGCGGAATGAATCAAAGTAGATTAGATCCTTGTACTTTTCACTTGAAGGATGCGAACGGGAAACTTCGAGGAGCCTTGGCGATTCATGTCGACGATTTGGTGCTAGGTGGTGATTCGTATTTTGACAGTCATGTTGTTGAACCTTTGAAAAAGAAATATCCTTTTAAACACTGGCATGATGGAAGTGGTGATTTTCTTGGTAAGAAGGTGAAACAGTTGGAAGATTTTAGCATTGTTATTTCTCAGAAGGACTATGCAGGCAGTGTGACTCCAATTAAGATTAGCAGAGAGCGCAGGAAACAAAAGAACAGTGACATTGATGAGAACGAAAGAACACAGATGAGAGCCTTGTTAGGAGAGATCAATTGGATGACTGTTTGTTCACGGCCGGATTTGTCTGCAACATGTTCACTACTTCAACAGAAGGTAAACTCGGCTCAAGTAGAACACCTTATCGAGTGTAACAAGTTGGTAGGCCTTGTTCGGGATTTTTCGCATACGGAAATTAGGATACTACCCATAGAGCCAAAGAATGTCGAGTTCACTGTTTGGAGCGATGCCTCGTGGGCGAATGCTGCTGAGAGAAAGAGCCAAGGAGGTTTTCTGATAGCCATGACAGATGGCAAGATGAGTCACAACGCATGGTCGAGAGTATCCCCTTTGAAATGGAAGTCCTTCAAACAGGACCGTCAGGTTGCTTCAACTCTCGGGGCAGAGTTGCTGACTGTCTCACGTGCCCTAGCGGAAACATGCTGGTTGCGCTCAATGTGGAGTGAAGCGATGTGTGCAGACTATTCTTTAGAGAGGGATGCTCAAATGTCATGCAATTTTCCTGTGGTGGTTGCTGTAGATTCAAAGCCAGTGTATGACCACGTGCACAGTCAAGTGGTGACTATCCGAGATAAACGGATAGCGATAGAGATGCTGTTAGTCAAGCAGGACGTTCAGAAGAAGAACATTGTTTTGAAATGGATTCCTACCTATCAGATGATTGCAGACCCTTTGACGAAGCCAAATGCACCAAAAGAGCTTTTGCGAAGAGTGATTCAAGAAGGAAAGTTTGTGATGTGTGAAGATGATACCATCAAAAGGTGGTCAGGGCTGAAGAAGTTCAATGATGATGAAGCTGTGTTTGGTTGATGCTTGTTGTTTTGTGTTGACATCCGAGGTAGTTCAACAGATGTCACAGATACAATTATTTAAGGGATGTGTGAAATCATGGATCCCTATCTGTGACATGTTCAGTTGTTTGTGGCCTCCCTATGGGATCAAGCCCCCCTCGTCTTACGCTTGTCGATCGTGGAAAATCGAATGCTGGTTTGGTGCTGACGCGATCACCTGTGACTCCAGGTTGTCACATCACCATTTTTAATAGTTGAATCATGATCAATAATCTAAATACATCTGATAATCAAACGTGGCAATAGAAAACCTTCCTTTTTATAGATTATTTTCCCATTAAAATCTTCATTTACAGGGATTTTCCACTGCCACGGTTGATTCCCAGGGAGGTGTTGCGGGCACTCGTACGAATTGTCTCGACAGCCTGAGGCAAGCAATGACCTTCGGTGCTGCTGCCGCTGCAGTGCCCCAGATGGCCATGGCTGAGAATCTTGATCTGGACATGGGTTCCTTGGACCATCATTGGAAGAATCGAGTACTGTATCTATAGATGTATTCAATTGCATTCATGTATGTTTATATTGAGCTGAACTATCTGAACTGTTGTTTTCAAGGCTATCTAAGGTTGGATTAGATTTTCAAGCCACATAAGCCACCAAACATTATGGACCCTACTGTAGTCAACGGTTCGTGAACAGCCATCAAACGGAGACACATCATCACCCACACCGAGAATGCACTTGTCAAGAGGCGTCTACGGTTACGAAAGGTTAGCTATTAGCTATGAAATGATTGGGTAGATTTTTGGCTCACTATTTTTCCTGGGTATTGTTTTCCCCTTCCCCGGGAGGGGGCAAGGGGGCAAGCAAGCCAGCCAGCTAGCAAGCCAAGCTAGCAGGAAGGCAGCAAACAAGCAATTAAGGAAGCAAGCAAGCAAGAAAACTACCCTCTGGTTATGACTGACATAGCTATTGAAAATGGCAATTTATAGTGGATTTTCCCATAAAACATGGTGATTTTCCATAGTTATGTTAGTCATTACCAGAGGGTACCATAAGTAAAGTTTTGAGCCAATCGTAGATAAACCGTCGAGCCAATCCTTCGGAAAAACTATCAACCAACTTTCAATAAAACAAAGCAACCCTGAACCAACCCTAAATAAAGTTCTAAACCAACTGCAACCCAAATCCAATCTTACTTATCCAAACCCTAAACAAACTTCAAACTTTAAACTAACTGGCACTAAACAGTAAATAGAGCTTTAAACTTTGGACCAATCTTTGACCAAACCTAAAGAAAATTCAGAATAAAAACAGCACCAAAGCTTAGATCTATTTTAAATCAACCATAAATAAATGATGATCCAACTCTAAAGAAAAATCTTGACCAACCCGAAACCCGAAAAAAAGTAGACACATCTTAAACCAAAAACGAAACACGCCAGAAAGAACACCCGAAAAATGTTAAATAAACATTACGCCAGCATTAAATAAATTCAGAGTAAACCCTAAGCTAACACTAAAGCCACCCACCCAAACTAAACCCTAAATCAATTTTAACTACAGTTTCAAAGCGGCCTTGGAACACAACCCTAAACCAAATCTAAACAAAACCTTTCACCAAACCTAAACCAACCCTGAACATGTCTTAAAAGATAAGAAACATTCCAAAATACCTTCGCCCAAGCCGAAACAAGTCCTACAGCAACCCTAACACCATGCTATGTGAACCAACCCTAAAACTAAGCGGACTCCTAGCTAAACCGCAAACTATATAACCCTAAACAACAAATTGCACCAACACTAAATTCACGCCAAACAAGCACTACACAAACACAATTTATAAACCAACTTTAAACCGACCTGGAATAACTAACCCAACCCACGATACCGATACCTTGAACCAACCCGAAGCACACACCACAGCAGCCCCAACAACACTTCTAGCTGAACCAACCCCAGATTGCTGCTAGCTCCAAAAATGTTCAATTCCGGCAGAAATAAGAGTTTCTAGCTCCAAAATGCTTGACTTACCATCAGTTTCTAGCTCCAAAATCCTGCAATTAGCGTAGAAGTGGTTCCAAAATGTTGCAAATACTGTCGAAATGGCAGCTTCGAGGTTTAACATGCTGCAAACAGCGAGGGAATTGATGCGGCATTGAGAGGGAAAAAATCCCCGGGAAAAAAAAAATCCTGGCGCAGACCGGGCCCTAGATTTTTCCCTTCAAAGTTGCTAGGGTTGACCAGTAGATACCAGTAGTGATTCCGCACCAGATGGTTTGGCCATGATTCTGCTTGAAATCTTGCAGAGTCAGGAGGCCCTTCTTGATCAATTTGAGTTGAACTCCGCATTCCTCATCACAGAGATATGGACACACATGAATTGTATAATATATATATATATTTTACATATATAGTAATAATAATAACAATAATAATAATAACAATAATATATGACTATGTGCTATATGATTCTATATGGACCAAACATGATCAAAAGCACGGTGCCCTGGTCAAAATGGAGGGCGGATCTTCCGTGACTCGGCCGAGGTTCCTCGCTCAACGTGTCTGCCACGGCGCCGGGGAGAGCTGTTGGGAAGGTTGATGTTCAGGCAAAGCCACATCATAGTTTTGGCTGTGTATAGATCTAATATATATATATTTATATGTATCATATGTATTTAAATATGTTTATACATATATATATATATGTGTATCATATGTATTTATATTTATATATCATATATGTATATGTATATATATATATATGTATACATTTTTCAAACCCATTATATTTAACTATATATATATATGTATAAATATATTTACATATATTCCAAATTGGGGTAGCGGGTAGGTACCAATTTCTTGAGGTTGATGTTTTTGACCCAAACCCGGGCACTCTTTGTTCAGACAAACCCAAATCAATAGTGTTGTTCATTGTATATCCCAGCACGTTACAACTTTTGTATATCTATATTAGCGTGTATGTATCAACTCGAAAAAAGATCGAAACGTCAAATCCACTCATATATATATATATATATGATAATTTGATACAATATAACATAATATAATTAATATAATATAACATATTTAATATATTATATTTTTTAAATATTACATAATTCAATATATTATAATATAATATCATATCGTATTATTTATTCTTATTAATAAAATAATATATATATATACATAGAAATGTACACACCACAATGCAATTGTTAATTGTTTTTGTTTCTTTTTGTGGTTGGCACAGGTTCCTGAAACAAAGTTGCCATGCCGCAGGTGGAGGCCTTGATGTTGGGCATCGTGCTGGGAACTGTCAGGACTCCCGGACTTGGATGGATCAGTTGGGTTTTATCAAATTTGACATTGACGGAAAACATATTTGTCAGAATATCATGATAATTCTGGATATCACAAATTTGATTTGAAAGAAATGGATATCTGAACAAATTATCAGATTTTTTTTTTTAAAAAAAAATCCTAATAATTATGTGTGTGTATCTGAAAACGGTGTATAGCCCAAGTTATGGTGCTGTTTTAGGGCGATAAACCTGGATAGGCTGGCGATTGATATATGAGTCGATGGTGTAGGTGTCAGCAAATGTAGGTTGATGGCAAGGTGATAGATATGGATAATTAATGATAATGAACCATTATGATATGGTTGATAGATATGGTTGATAGATATGGTTGATAGATATGGTTGATAGATATGGTTGATAGATATGGTTGATAGATATGGATCTAGATATGAAAATATGGAATATTGTGCATGGTAGTATGAAATATCAAGCCGCTTACTTAAATCAATGAAAGGTTGTTGATGATGAACAATGACATGACACAATATCACAAGCATGGGATGAGTTGAGTTGGGTATATTTTGAGGAATCATGGTATCACCATTCCTTTAAACCAAGTCTTCAAATGGCGCATCTTTTCAGCGAGACCCATGGGTGTTTATGGATGATGTAGATTTCTTAGAGGGGTTTCCCAAGTCTTGGACACACCATGACACGAGAAACAACTCGTCAGAAGATATGGAAGATCTCAGTGCAATCGACGTGTTTCTGAATTCAGCCTTATTCAGGAGTACAAAAGTCATCAAAATCCTAGCACCTCCGTCCTACTTTTTTCAAGCATCATATTCCCGGATTTCATGTCTCACAGGAACCCCCAGGGCCAGTTGTCGGATTCCGGTGCTCCAAGGTTCCAATCACCGTGCTGGGTCTGTTTGTGTCTGCCTGGTTGCAGTGTCTTGGTGCGAACGAAGGGCCGGGACCGGCAAAATTGGACTGGGTCACCAAGCACGCAAAATGGGTCGAGTCTTGGATTGCGAGATGGAATGGGTTTCCGATTCGAAACAAGCAACAGTTTCGGTTCTTTGATCCTTAAGTTTTGACCCATGCATCTAATTACTTAGCATTATATATATATATATATGCCCATGCCCATCTCCTGCGCTGTTTTAGGATCGAAGGATCTGGAAATCTGCCGCATGCCGTCCCAGGTTCAAGAAGGGTCCAACTCTCGGAATCTGAGCTGGCGCTGTTGAACGATCGGATTTTCCATTGAGAAACTCGCGGATGTGGAAGAAAGAGGTGGAGCCGCTGGGCATGGTGACGACAAATCCTGGAAAGTCATGTATGAATATTATAGAAAGTGACCCGCCATGATGAGAATCATCATTAAGAATCAACATAAGAATAGTAATAGTTGATAATAATTATATGTATATATCTATATATACAATTATATTTATATATACATATAAATGTCATCATCACAATAATCATGAACATGTGCAACTGTCCTATATTTCAGGCAACTTCAGCTGCGACTGGTACCGAGCTCACCTTTTTTGGGAGAACTTCAGCGATGGATGCCCGCTTTTCAGCAGTCGTGTTGAAATAGAATCGCGCCACCCCCTTGGTTGCCATGGGTGGAAAGTATATGAAAATACTATTATCATATCCTATCCCATACTATCCATTATTATCCTACTTAAAAGTCTAACTCTAGACTCTTCAGGCCTTGGTCCAGCACTATTAATTGTAGCAACATTCTCGGTGTTTGTTCTTTATACTTTTACCATCCAACCTACACAGACCCAAATAGAGAAGGCAGATCAATTTACTCCAAAGATGGAGAGTCTTCAGGGTCTATGTTTGTGACGGTATGTGCATCATTATATATCATTATAAACCATTATAATCTGATATAATGTATATTTACAGTAAGAATGATGGGGATTCAGTTCAAACAGCAACAGTCTCAAGCAACCAAAAATTCGCATATCAACAACAACCGTGCGGGAAGTGATCAATGGTATTCCCATATCATGACGGACATTGACATGCATTGACATGCCATGATTCATACCCTCCCAAAAACCCTCCTATACCCTCTATATCAACTCCCCATCTTGTACCGGTAGAATAGTGCCTACAGTAACCATTCTCGGCTGCGGTTTTAACGCATCGCCACCGTCGCAGATTTTTAGGATCAAAGCTGTCACCGCTGACACACCGCTGTCACCGCTGTCATCGTCACGCGGTCCGCGCGGGATCTGGGCCTTTGAACCACGGTGACTCGGCGTCACTTGAAGAGTTCACATAACCATAGAGGGCTGTCACCACGGCATATGGTTGTTGCTTGAATATGGTTCAAGATATGAACCGTAGAGCTGCTGGAATATGCTGGAATGTTTGGGTTTCCAGCTTTATCAAGAGAAGTTATCGTGACATGGCCAAGCCAAGCACGTAGATGGAATCTGATTCCTAGCGATCCACACTTGTAGCCTGTCCAGGCGTGGTCAGGAGAATGGCCTCCAGATACTCCCAAGTACACAGTTGCGAGTTGCGTCGCATCAGATAAAGGTTAAATGATGGGATATGATTGGTGGTTAAAAATCGAAAAATCATACCCTCTGGTAAACTAACATAACTATTGAACATCACCACTTTTAAGTTCGGTAAATCAACAGTAACTGGGCCATTGTCCATAGCTATGTTAGTCATTACCAGAGGGTAAACCTCCATTTCCCTATGGTTTTCCTATGGTTTTCCCATTAAAACCTCCATTTTCCTAGGGAATTTCGTCATGACGTTGCTGGGGTCTTCGATTGGGATGATGATGATGATGATGATGATGATGATGATGATGATGATAGTGATGAACTCCAGGCATTCTTCAGCATTTGCGGTTTGCCACGAGGGATGGGCGACAGTTGGAGCCTTGGGAGATAACTGGGGAGCGGTTTTTGAAAAAGGGCCGTTTTCAGTGGACGGTTTGAAGACTTCGAAGATGGACAGCGCATTGAAGTTGAACATGTATGAACATCATTGAACATATGGAGCTTTTCTAAAGGGATGCTGAAACATCGAAACATGATGTCATCAACCTGACCATTGGCACTTCCGGACATCCAGGATTTGGATGGATTTGGGTCTTCCACCATAGAACCCATATCTACTCGATGCCATCTCTTTACTGTCATTGATTGGAAATAGCATGGATATATAGTATATTATAGTATGATATTAATAGTATATATATATGTATAATATGTATATTATATATATAATAATATTGTATAACCGCATACATATATATATAGTGTATATGCATGCATGTTTTCTTGTCAATCTTGTGACACCATTTGGTCGACTTCTTTTCTGGACACTGCTGAGGTTCATCAAAGCCTTGGATGTATGACCAGGCACTGCTGACATACAGAAAGCTAACAAGACTGTTGAGTAACGCCTGAAAAAAAGGAACTTTGAAATTTCACTGAAATTGTGTTTCTATAGATTCTATAGTTTGGGTTTTGTTGTTTTTGTCCTATGTTGTTTGGTGTTACTGTACACAATACTGCCACGTTACTACCAGTTGCATCCATAGAGGTTTATGGTTTATCATTCAGCACCATTCAGTGTAGACTGCGAATCCCACCTCCTGAGAGACGTGAAACTTGCAATTTTCATATTACCCTCTGGTAAACTAACATAGCTATGGAAAATCACCATGTTTAATGGGAAAATCCACTATAAATGGGCCATTTCCCATGGCTATGTTAAATCACCAGAGGGTAAGATCAAGGACAAAAGATTCTGCCATATTTCAACAGCCAATGGGGTCATCTCAGATTGAAATACACCGGCATCCACGTCCCAAATCATCGGCAGGAAGACATGACCACGCCATCCACGCGCTACTCAAAGGATTCCTTGACCTGCTCTCCATGTCTTGGGCCTCAGGGTTTGAGGATGGGCTGATTGAAAAGCGGGAACGGAAATTCCCCATGTTACAAGCCATTTCGAGGTGCAACTACTATCAACTGCTAGCACTATAAAAATTGTATGTTTACCAGTGGGTTCACAAGTTTTTTTTTGGGAGGTCAAATTTGAGTACCTGTAAACTTGAATGTTTTGAGATGTCTGGACCCAGACTCATAATATCTGCAGGGCATTGAAGCCACTGACATTGTTCTTCAGAAATCTTCAGAATCTGAACGTAACGAGACTTGAAGCAATGGTGATCTCATGTGATCTCCAACGAAGATGAACCAATAGTTGTTGGATGTTGATGGCTAAATCAACTATTCGTGGAAATTCACCTAAACTAGTTGATGGATAGTTTTTCCAATAGTTGATGGCTAAATAGTTGATGAAAAACTCCGCAAAGATTCTCCAAAGTCATCCAAAGTGCCCGAAACGACATCCACAACTCGACAGGGAGCGATGACTCTGACGTCACGCCCGTCTGGCGACCTTGTTCAGAAACGGACACGGTGCCTGGGATGGGAAAACCTGGGTGATGTTCGAAGAAAAGAATATGTCGATAGAGGAAATTCCCACCAAAATCATGGCAAAAGTATAGGGAAATTCGATGAATTTCACACTTCTTTGGGATTTTTTGGTGGGTTACTGCATCTCAGATGCGACGTTAAAGTTGAGTAGATGGGTATCTTTTAAAGTAATGGTATGACCTCCAAGAATAGAATGTCAAGATGACCACCATTTTTTGTCTCTCTGCATATGATGTTATCGCACTTCATTTTCATGAACCAAGACTTCAAACCTCCAAATCCAAGATTTTAAACATCCAAATCATTGGGGTCCTAGAAAATGAGTCTGTTCTGAGTGAATGTCATTTTGAGGATTCCATGTCAGCGTTCGAGGCCGTATTTCACCACATGTTTTGCAGATGACATTTTTTTACCCATGATCATGACATCATGACCAGTTCATGGAGTAAAAGTATAGGTTAGGGGTGATGGTTTTGTTTCTAGATATTTTTAGCATGTCCTATGGAAGAATACTGCATTATGTATTACCATATATCATATATCATATACAATTATTTTTGGACCATTATCATGTGATATCATGCGCTATCTATCCAGAAACCAATTTTGTATTACCATATATCATATATCATATACAATTATTTTTGGACCATTATCATGTGATATCATGTGCTATCTATCCAGAAATCAATTTTGTATTACCATATGTCATATATCATATACAATTATTTTTGGACCATTATCATGTGATATCATGTGCTATCATGTGCTATCTATCCAGAAATCATTTTTTGGGAGGTATCTCTATGGTAAGAGATGAGGCTCCTTTGAGTTGCTGGTGTTGAGTATGTGTTCCGCAGCTGATCATGACAGCCATGGAACGACGGGACATGATTTTGAGGTGTTTGTTTCCCTAAACACAATTTGCTCATCAAATGTCAATCACATGATTTTTGGACTTGCATTTGCATGTGATTTACTGAGTTGTTGGAAAGGGAGTATCCAAGTACTATGGGCTTCACGTGACTATCATTTCAGCAAACCGCAGGAAGCTAAGCAGTTACGGAGAAAATTTGCCGAAAATAGCTCACGACAGGCTGGTGGTTTCAAACACTTCTGGTCAAAGCATAGACTCAGCGGCCACACCTTGATGGCCTTTGGCGGCCCTGTGTGCGATGCACGGCGCTCAGCGGAGGTAGCAGGCGTCAGTCTTTTCAGAACTTTGGCGAGGGTCACCTTCAGACTGGCAGTTGGAGGAACTCAAGGTAATTATAGTATATAATTATAGTTATCTAAACTTATCTAAACCATTCTGAAGCTGAATAATTTCGATTGTTTACAGCGACCCATAGCTGATTCCACAACAAATGCTTGCTCATATTGGAGAAACCACGCATTCGATTGTCAACGAATTGGTTGAACATTGGATGAAAGGAACTTTTACAGGAACCCCTCCGTGCCCGAAGTAATGTCTCTTCAAAGAAATATAGGACACAACGACCTCCCAAGGCCCAGCCGGTGCACGGAAACTTAGATCCCAGCTATTGAGACCCAGCTGGTTCAAGTGGAGATGTGTAAATGATGGTTAGGAAGTGGAACTCTCGTAGTGTCCCCTTCAATGGCCATATCTCAAGCTGGTAGATTGATTAGTCTGATTTATCCAGATATATTGGGGTATATACACATATATTCATATTATATTTCATATTCATATATATATATATTTACAAAGTGTGTATGAATTATGATGGAAATATAATTATCCGGGAACTTCATTTTGCTGAGTGCGTTTTTTAAGGAGGCTCACCAGGGCTAGTTGCTGAGGTGGTCAATGAGTTCTCAAGAGGTTCAGTGTATATCACATACCTAGGACCTAGGTGAGTCGAGCATCTACCATCGCAGCCTGCATTAAATCATGTTGTGTCCATGTTGATCGTTGAGATTATCATGGCCATGTCTGATCGTCAGAGTCTGACTCAGTTTTTTTAGAAGCTGAAATGGCCCTCTGAGCTGGGATCAATCACTCTAAAAGGGGCCATAATCAATACTGTAGCCATGATTGTTGATTTATAGCCCGAGGCTTTGAACCGGAGCACCTTGGCAACCTCGCAGTAGACATTGTCATGATCCACTCGCCCTGCAATCCCCCATTTGATATCCATTGCTCGATGGAACTGATTGAAATCTCAGCTTTGGGCAGGTTCACATGAACGGTAAGCTCAAATATTGCTCAACCATCCCATTCACCAACCGTGTGGGGGATATGATGAATCAATATTTTCATATATGTTCATCATCCCTTTTTTAGGGGTACCACCAACATTAACCAACATTAACCAATAGTATCATAATCCCACTATGGATAGTTCCATTAATAGTTAGTTTGGTAGTACCAAATCAACCAATAGGAGGTTAACCAACCAGAATTGGGGATGGTTGATTGCCATGGATTTACATGGATTTCCCTCATTGGAAAAATGATGAAAATTGCCCATCGTTCGTTGCGGATTTCCGGGCCAGCCACGTTTGACACCCTATGAGGGTAGCGAAAATCATTCCAGGGTCACCTAAGCCAGTAAAAAATCACGTGGTTGATTGGTTCATGGAACTATCCATAGTGGGATTACTATTGGTTACTTGGAAAAATCCTCCTATTGCTTGATTTGGTACTACCTAGCTTCTTGGTGATTATGATACCCATAGTGGGGAAACCTATGAATCAACTGGTATTTCATGATGCGGCAAAACGAGGGCATTTTGAACGCCTAGCAGGTCCGATGCCGAGATGGTCCGAGAGCCTAGGTTTTCACGAAGCCATGCTGGGCCACCAAATGGGCCCGAAAAAAGTTGGAGCTATGATGTTGCAAACCCCAAAAAAGGAAAAAATATGAAAAGATGCGAACATATGTGAACAGTTACTACTACTGAACTAGTGGTAAATGACTTCTCTATCCTTTTTTCGTAATTGTTTGGGTGTTTCTATATTTATATATATACAGTGAAAATGAAATATGACATGACCAAATTTGGCCATACCTCCGACAACTCTCTGGAGTTGACCCATTTCGCCCACTGAATCCCAAGAAATCAGGCCAACACAAGATTTGGGGTTGTGTCGAGATTTGGTATTTGGTATATGAAATGGTACATGAATGGTTTTTAGATGGCTTAGCAGATTGGAAAGTGACAAAAAAAGGTATGTTTCGCCTGAAATCAGGATTGACAATCATGGCCTGTTTCGGACCTGCTCAGTAAGCCGATTTTTCAGGATATGCATTCTCTCGATTATTCTCGATGTATTCCAGCGGGGCGCTTCTCTTTAACTGCATTGATCAAATTCAAAAAAATAGACAAACAATAAATTAAACCACAATATTTCAAAGATGGACCAACAAACAGCGTGAACAAATAATAATAATTCAAGTCTTGCAACTATAGTTATACATGATATCAAATTGGAAACATATGTTCCATTGGTGTCGGATGATTAATTACTTAAGAATATAGATCCTGATTCATATGCATACATATATGTATATATATATGTACAAATGTTGATACATGGATAGCCATGAATGTAGTTTATATGGGCAATATATGGGTAATGAACATCCAGGTTTGAATCGAAGCTTTTTGGATTCTTGGCTTCATTCTTGATAGCCATGATACAGTAGCCATTATAGTTGGTCTCATCCATTTTTCTTTGTTCCATATAATACTTTTTGATAGGTTAACATAGGTTAATTTGGCTTCATTAACGCCATTCACCTCCATTTTTGGATAGCCATTAAATGCCATTAAATGCCATTAAATGCCATACATATATATATATATAGCCATTAACCATGGTTATTAACGGGTCCTATGTGCAGCACCTCTTTGCGCCCCTGGGATCTCAGGTGAAGGACGAGACCTTGGTTCATCCAGGCGATGACGATGGAAATCTGTGGCCATGTCACGATATTTTCAAAGCACTTTTAAAGTATGTCCTGTTGGTGGTTTTTAGAGGTATTACATGGTATTACCCTATGGTTATGGCTGACATAGCCATGGTATAGATGGCCCATAGAAATAGATGGTTTACCTATTAAAAATGGTGATTTTCCATGGCTATGTTAAATAACCAGATGGTATATATCTGGGTAAATTATAACGACCTCACGTCGCGACCGAGCCCTGGAATCATGGTTACTAAGGGGAATCATCCCAAAATGGCCTTAATTCAGGGTAGTGAAATATTATAATTTACCCATATATATATATACATACATATATACTTATTATTATATATCAATATGTATATATATATATATGTATATGATATAGTATAAAAACGGGTAGCCATGCCTATATAGTAGTTCATGACAGACACAAGCCAGTTGCTGACTGGTATAGCTTTCAACCACCCCTTACCCCAACGACTTGACTCAGGCGTCCTGCCCTGCTACGTAGATTTTCCACTCGGCATGTCGGGGTCTCGTTTCATGTTGGTTCTTTGAAACAGAGAATCCGAAAAAAAAACAACTAATCTAATTAACAAAAACAAAAAGCAACGGCAGCAACAATAAATACCAAGCATTTACTGTATCCAACAAAACAAGGAAGTGAAGCGACAAATCTATGCGTCTGACCAAGAAGTGCAGAGATTTTTAAGCAACACTTGTATAGTGTCGGATCTGAAGCAATCACAATGGAGATTTACGACGATTGTCCCTGGAGGAAGATGATAGGAAACAATGGCACCTAAACATACCTAAACTGGGTGGAAATAAGGTCCTGTGATGATTGGGTTCCGGGAATCTGTTTTTGGATGATTTTGAGAGTTTTTAGTGTGATGGAGTAACATGCTATGGTTGGAATGTGTTGGAATTGGGTCTTGTCATCCCCCGTTCTTAGAAGATGTTCCACCAAGATTACCAATTATGGCTATCCCCAAATTTCAGACACATTCAAATGTTCGAATTCCCCTTTTTCACCTCAGG